CACCCAAAAATATCGTTTCTGGTTTCTTAACTACTGACATTTGGCTCATCAATCGATTAAGGTTCAATGATGTTGATTTTGTGCCATCCTCTGGTTAATTCCAAAGAAAATGACGTGCCTCAGAGGGCTGAAGAAAGAATTCCAGAAAAAGAAGAGCACGTAGCAAAAATAAGTCAAGAAGGCTATTTTAATTGGAACAACTTCCATAGGCTTAACCCCTGAAGATTGTTTTCCCCTGCTTAAAGCTGCTGAAAGAAATAAAAGTAAAACAAGAAAAAGATTGCGCATGAAGTCATTGTTGAAGATGACGAGACTTTCGAATCTAAAATCGATATGATTCTCGAACCACTCCGTCACTATCGATTAGAGTAAGTTATAAGATTTGAATGTTGCTACTAGTCCTTGATCCATTGGCTGAGTTATTGTAGTTGTATTTTTAGGCAGGTATTCAATTTTCACATCTTCAAGCAGGTCCGATATATTGGTGGGATGTTATCCAAAAGAAGCAGAATTTTTTAACCCAAATTGTTCTTCGGAAGGTATTCTTTCACTTCAAGACCAATTTTTTTATTGAACCAATCTTGATAAAGGCTTTTTGACATCCAAACTTGTTTGTTGGATCTCTAAACAACAGGTAATATAGTCTATCTATATTACCTGTTAAGACTAGTGCAACATTCAAAGCTTATTACTTGCAGAAAACATTTCAAAAACTTGTTAATGAAACCGATAGGAAATTAACGAGTTTTTGAGTTGTAGAGTGTAGACAATATTAGCAAATTATGGGATGAGCAGAAATCCTTCCAGAAATTAGACAAAACATATTAAGTTTAGCAAAAGAAGTTGGTTTTGAAGACTTGGAAAAAGACGATGTGTTGAATTTGGTGGATGCTGCTTGCCAGCCACTTTCGAATGATGAGTTAATTGAACTTGCAGAGAACGAAATGCTTCAGACGAAAGAAGAAATAATTGGCATTACAATAACACTATGCCATCCAACAAAAAAGTTATCCATTTCTCGTGGTATTACCGCAGTTGTAAACTGCTACCAGAAGTTGATGCAAAACAAAAAACTTTCCATTACCTTTAGCATAAATTCTCCCATCGCATTAAAATGATGGATTCTTTTCACACAAATGCAGGTCATAGCCAACGGTAGCGTCCATAATCAACAAAATTCCACTAAACTTTTTATCACGGTCAAGTATGAATGGTAGGTAGCAAGATAACTTAGAATTAACAGTTAGAAATTAGAGCAGACACTGATTGTTCTACGTGTTTGGTGAATACCATAATTTAACTAATACTCATTTACGGAGCATAAAATACATTCTACACATAAAACACATTTCAGATTAATTCTAAAACAACGCCGTGAAGAACCGTGTAATAACATTGCGGTATGTAGACACCAGATTTGTGAAATTATCCCCCACACTATAAACAACCAATAGGAACATCTTGTAAAAGAATTTAACTCTTGACCCAATATTAATTTATTTTATTTTAAAGATCGATTTGGTTGAGAATGATGAACTATTACGTCTTATTTCTTCATTAAAACAAATTCGTCAGGCGTGGATGGCTTAGATGTTAATCGTTATAAAGTTGTGCTCCTCATAGTCATTAATTTTATGGATATTAATAAAATGTTAAGACTTCACTTGCAATAAAAGGTTAACATGTTTTGTTGATGAAATCATTATAGCAATGAATTAGAGGCCATATTATAGCTTTTTAAGTGTAAATATACAGGGTGATTCAAAAAACCGCTGACAGGCTGAAAAAACCGCATTAATAGTCTTAATATATAGCGAGATATAGCAGATCAAAGTTTCTTTAAAATTAAACATTATCTGCTATAAAAAGCACTTTTTTAAAATCAAGTAAATCCTCTTTTTAAAAACTTGTGAAGAATTTCTTGATGATTTTTTCAAAGATTTTCGAAAAATGTTGGTCAGTTCCAAGATTTTTAGGAATTTATTCGGTATCTATTTGTAAAATAGGCCTACTCTTTAGAATTTTCAGGATTTGAGGTATTTTCATAGTTTTTAAAGATGCCTAAAAGTTTTTATCATTTATTGGAGATCAATTTTTCGGAGTATATCCAAGATATTCTAGAAAGTTCCTAGTACACATCCAAGTAATTCCTAAGAATTTGATGAATTTTCGCGTAGGTTTGAGATTTTTCAAAGACGAATATACTTTTTTAAATTTATTAGGGATAGATCTAGATTGACATGGATTTTTTTAATATGTCCAAAAATATGTAAAAGATTTGTAGAGGATTTACACCAATTTTCAAGGATTCCATAGCATTTTTAAAAGTTTCTGGGATTTACTTGAAATGATTTTCAAAAAATGGTTCATAATTCCTAGATTTTCAGGAATTTATTAGATATCCATTTGAACAATTAAGAATTTTTCAACGATTACTAATACAGTGTATTTTATAATACGCGATTTGCGCATTGCAATACCAATACTGTGATATTGGTTGCATACTTGCAATGATGACGTCGAGTACGATAATTAATTAACACACTGTATTAGTAATCGTTTCAAAATTCTTGAAAGTAGTTAAAAATGCTTTAAATGAATCTCAAATAAACCCTTGATGTCGTTAAACATTCTTTGCAAATCCATAAAACTTCTTGTGAAAATCGTTAAGAAATTCTTGAGACTCTCGGATTCTCAAAAATCTAGGAGGGATTTTCAATGTTTCTAAAGGTTGCCTAACAGTTTTTGTAATATATTGAATTTACAACGACTATCGAAAACTTTAAAAACAGAAGATTCTGAATTTCCAAGTATTATTTCCATAAAAAGGTAAGGAAGTTAGTTGTATAAAAAGGAAATAAGAAATAACCCGAAAGAATATGAGTACTTTGGCAGTACAACATCACAAGATAGAAGGATAGATTTAGACATAAACGCAAGAATAAGGACAACAAACAACGTATATCCTACTCTAAACAGAATAATTTTCCAAAGACTTAGAAACTTTCATTTCTACTAAAACATTCATTCTTAGACATTTTTTGATTTAATCACCTATAACTTTTTCAATTCAACCTTAATAATAATTTAGCTTTATTTATTAGAAACTACACCCTTTTTATTGCAACTTGCCCAAATTTCATGATTCCAACCCGATTTTCCAAAGATTTAGAAACTTTCATTTCTACTAAAACATTCATTCTTAGACATTTTTTGATTTAATCACCCACAACTTTTTTAATCCAACGTTAATAATAATTTAGCTTTATTTATTAGAATCTACACTCTTTTTATTGCAACTTGTGGAAATTTCATGATTCCAACCCGATTTTCCAAAGACTTAGAAACATTCATTTCTCTTAAAACATTCATTTTTGGAAATTTTTTGATTTAATCACCCACAACTTTTTTAATCCAACTTTAATAATAATTTAGCTTTATTTATTAGAATCTACACCCTTTTTATTACAACTTGCCCAAATTTCATGATTCCAACCCAATTTTCCAAAGACTTAGAAACTTTCATTTCTACTAAAACATTCATTCTTAGACATTTTTTGATTTAATCACCCACAACCTTTTTAATCCAACTTTAATAATAATTTAGCTTTATTTATTAGAATCGACACTCTTTTTATTGCAACTTGTCCAAATTTCATGATTCGAACCCAATTTTCCAAAGACTTAGAAACTTTCATTTCTACTAAAACATTCATCCTTAGACATTTTTTGATTTAATCACCCACAACTTTTTTAATCCAACTTTAATAATAATTTAGCTTTATTTATTAGAATCGACACCCTTTTTACTGCAACTTGCCCAAATTTCATGATTCCAACTCGATTTTCCAAAGACTTAGAAACTTTCATTTCTACTAAAACATTCATCCTTAGACATTTTTTGATTTAATCACTTACAACTTTTTTAATCCAAATTTAATAATAATTTAGAATTATTTATTAGAAACAACACCCTTTTTATTGCAACTTGTCCAAATTTCATGATTCCAACCCGATTTTCCAAAGACTTAGAAACTTTCATTTCTCTTAAAACATTCATTTTTGGAAATTTTTTGATTTAATCACCCACAACTTTTTTAATCCAACTTTAATAATAATTTAGCTTTATTTATTAGAATCTACACCCTTTTTATTACAACTTGCCCAAATTTCATGATTCCAACCCAATTTTCCAAAGACTTAGAAACTTTCATTTCTACTAAAACATTCATTCTTAGACATTTTTTGATTTAATCACCCACAACTTTTTTAATCCAACTTTAATAATAATTTAGCTTTATTTATTAGAATCTACACTCTTTTTATTGCAACTTGTCCAAATTTCATGATTCCAACCCAATTTTCCAAAGACTTAGAAACTTTCATTTCTACTAAAACATTCATTCTTAGACATTTTTTGATTTAATCACCCACAACTTTTTTAATCCAACTTTAATAATAATTTAGCTTTATTTATTAGAATCGACACTCTTTTTATTGCAACTTGTCCAAATTCCATGATTCCAACTCGATTTTCCAAAGACTTAGATAATAAATAACAAGTAACTTACTCTAAACAGAATAATTTTTGGGAAGAAGAAGATAGATGAAAAGATAAGATTGAAGTGAATCAGACACGTAAGAATTTCGTAACAATTTTTAAAAGAACTTTCATGAAATTTCAAGGAATGTTTAAAGACTCCACGGATTTATTTGAGATGCATTTGAAGTATTAAGACATTTTTGACTACAATGTGTTAATTAATTATCGCACCTCATTGCAAGTATGCAACCAATATCACAATGTAATACGGAAATCGGGTATACTGTGATATTGGTTGCATACTTGCAATAATGACGAAGTTTTGAAGAAATTCTTTCGGAATTTCCATGATTCTTCACAATCATTAAGACAGTTTATGATATAATTTGATATTATTTATACAATATTCAAGTAATATTATTAGATGGTAATAATTTAAGTTGAGATATTAACTTACCCTTTTAAAATTTTCACTCTTTCTCGTACACGAACAAGATCCGTGTTTTTTCTCGGTTCCTTCTTTATAATCCGGTGTTGCTCCGTGTTGAACCAACACGGTAAGACACTAAACAAAAAAATAAATCGAATTTTTTTTGTTATTTTCGTCACCGGATGTACAGCTTAACAACGTTATTATTGTACCTCGACCTGTTGATTTTCCGCAGCGTCATTAATCGGACTTTTTCCATATTTGTCCAAGGACAATCTCGCGCCGTGTTTTAATAGCCAACGGACCGTTTCCAGGTGACCTCTTGAGGCAGCGAAGTGCAAAGGGGTCGCTCCATCACCGTCCCTTAAATTCGGATCAACACCTTGATCTTGAATCTAACAAAAAAAAAGAAATTTTACTCAAAGTAATAAACGATTTATGGTCGAATTTATGATTGGAAAAAATTATGAGTTATTGGTTATTGTTCGCGTTTTGACTTTCACTTCTTGGTTTTAATCACTTGGTTTCAAAAAGATTTACGATTTCGTAATAACCGCTTTGTATCCGGACATTAAACGAGAGAAAGATCGATTGTAATCTCACCATCCATTTAACACAATTTAAACAGCCCATTTGGCTCGCTGCGTGAATTGGTGCCATTCCATCTTTAGCCCTCACGTATAAAGATCCTCCGGCTTCCAAAACTAGGAATTTTAGCACTTCCAAGTGGCCTTCTTGCGCAGCCAAATAAACCGGCGTTACGTCGTTATCCATTTGAGTGTTTGCACTGAAACGAGAACAATAATTAACCAAAAAAAGAAACGGAAAGAAAAGGTGGGTTAATTAACCAATTTGTAAATTAAATTTCTTTAATTTAAATTGTGGAAGAGAAAGTTACTCTTCTTTTCCCTTTTTTTTATTTTGGTTATAAACAAAGCGGAACGATCAAGATCAAGGATAATAAAAGAAGAAAAGTTTTTTACGATCTTATATAATATAATTTATTTATGTTATATAAATGTTTCTTCTTAAATAAATAAAAGGTGAAAATATATTTATAAGCTCGGATTGTACTCAAAAGGAAACATAAATTGAACACAAATTGTTAATTAATTATCGTACCCCACGTCATCATTGCAAGTATGCAACCAATATCACAGTACTAGTATTGCAATACGCGATTTGCGTATGATGCGTATTGCACTGTGATACTGGTTGCATACTTGCAATGATGACGTCGGGTACGATAATTAATTAACACACTGTATAGTTTCCTATTATACCAAAATTCTACTATCGGATTAAAAACTACTAGAAATAAAAGAACAGTCTCTCACCATATGTGGAAAGAGATAGAATGGGACGACTTGGGCACAAACATAAATTACTACTTTGAAGTTGAACTAGAACTAGGCAATTGTGAAGCTAAACGAAGATCAATGGACCAAGAACATTATGGAATTGAAACCAAGACAAAATGCTTTTAGGAAACAGAAGCCATGCTCCAACCAGACGATTTAAGGTATATCCACACTATCTGGGTGCAAATTGCGCAGGGTAGGGAGTTATGGAAGCAAACATAACGTAAACATGGCGTACGTATAGCAGTAGACTTTAGAGGCTGGGTGATGATGATGATGATAACCTGCAGAATTAAAAAAAAACTAAGAAGAGGAAATAATCCGGATGGAAAATTGATAACAACCCACACAAATGAAAAATATGGAAAAGGTTAACGCAATAGGCATGCTACATCATGATGTATGAGTACTTGGAATGTAAAAGAGATGAATGGCTTGAATAAAAGCAAGGCGAATTATTAAAGAAATATTGAAAGAAGTGGTTTCATTAATGAATACGAGACAGAAACTAACTGCTTGCTGGAATAACAAAGTTAAGGGGCAGATAAACAATAAGAAGAAAATACTATGGAGAGTCTACCTAGCTGATAAAACCAAGGAGAAATATACAAGGCTTACAAAAATCAAAGAATAACGACTAAACACATGGTGTAGTATGCAAAAAGAGAGAACCGAGAAAGGTTTGGCGAGATACTTTCCAGTATTTTGCCAAACCTCACTGTTTTTCAAGGCCATAAAGAATTTTAGAAGTGAGAAAGATATTGGGTATAGAAAAAGAGACAATAAACAGATAGAGTTTGTTGTTTAGTTATTTTATTTAGTTGTTTACAGCAACTGTCATACCATGTGCTGGATTCCAGCACGGGGGATCTTGGCTTAACCGCCAAGATCAAGAGGAGACAACCTCATTAAAAACCCCAAAGTCAAGGTGGAACAGCTTATGCCGAAAACTTTTATCGCTTAATTACGTTGGCCAAGAGGGAAATACTTGGTTCCTAATAAGCGGACTCTGGATACCTGGGAATTTCAACAAAATCCTCTTACTGCGGCTCTGTTGCGGTGGACCTCCTTTCCCTAGCTACTCGTGAGACTTTCATGGAACAGAGTAACAAGAGGCCATAAAAGAGGTAGATGCAACTCCGGGCGCATCAAGGCAGAAATCGCCTTCAACAGGTGAAAGCGCAGAGTCTTAACGTCTGCGACCATCGAATTCCAGGAAAGCATTGAGAAGCTCCAAGTCAAAGAGAAAAAGTTAAGCGGTGCAGCACGGAAAAGGCTTAAGTGGCTGGTCAAACAACGAGGAAGCCCGAGCAAAGGCCACACAGCCTATCAGTGAGGAGGAGAAAAGGGCTAAAAGACCTCGCTACGAAAGCACAATGCCGGCGTAGCGTTCCTAGCAGAGGCAATCTTCCGCATGAGCAAAAACCTACAGCTGCCAGCTTCAAGCAGGTGTTGGAAGGTAAAAAGATGGGAATTGCAGATTCCCTATTTCCAGAGGTGAACCTCACAACAGCCCAAATGCAGGCTATTCAAGAGGTCATCATCTCAAGAATTGTGGACCTTAGCGAGGGACATAAAGGCGAAATCAATCCTAAGTTCCTCGGCACCACATTTGCTGGTAGTCAACTGCGAAAATCAGGAAACAGCGGACTGGATAAAGTCCATAACTCCAACCCTACAACCATGGAAGGGGCATCCCTAATGGCTATCGATGAAAAGGAGCTACCTAGAGCGACTATCATGAACGCCTATTTCTCCAACAGTGCGGATGAGAAATCAGACCGCATTTTAAAAATTGTTAAAGTTCAGAACGATAAAGGACGACCGAAGGCAGCAGTGCCTTTCTTACGTTGTCCGTTGACCATCCCTCTGTAGAGAGCCTAACTATAAGGTTAGCTACAAGTTCGGCCAAATCACCCTGAGGCAAAAGACGGCTAGCCTACGCCTCAGAAGGTAGAACCCGAACCAACATCAGGAACTTCCGGAACCGCCAAGGACCCCAAGAAGGGTACAGGTAAGGTTAGCTCCGAAAAAAAAGGTAAGGGCCAACATCCAGCACTTTTCATCCAGAAACATGTCTGCTTGAATTGAATTAAACATTTTAGTATTTCTCAAAAAGTTTTTACTTTTACCTACATCATACTTTAATATATAGTAAAGTCAGGAATTCTAAACTAGAGCAAACATGGGACCTCTATAGGAAAGCCCTAACGGAATATAACTTGGTTATCCGCAAAGCCAAAAAAAAACCTGGCGCAGCTTCTGTGAAGGCATAGACAATACGCCTACAGTTGCTCGTCTGCATAAGATCTTGGCAAAAGATCTCAACACTGATCTAGGCCACCTATGCAAACAAGATGGTAAATACACTAAGGATGCTAAGGAATTGTTGGCGCTCCTACTGAGTACACACTTTCCTTCCTCAAAAGTCTGCCCCCACGCAGATGCCGACCCTGAAGTAATGGACATAACCCGTCCATCAGGGTCGTTTCTAATTGACTCGTTGTAGGTGTACAACGAGTTACAAATCGTCCAAATTCTCCACTGTCCTAGCGTAAACTAATGACTTCAGATATCCCCAGAAAAAATAATCCAGGGGGTTTAAGTCTAGGGATCGAGCAGGCTATGTGAGTCGCACACCTCGACCAATCCAGCGATTTCCGTATGTTGTTGTTAAAAAATTAGAAGCAACCAAACTCAGGCAGCGTTTCTGCCAAAGAGTTGCGATACACCACACCAGTAAGTCTTCCTGGTAGCAATACCGGTCCAATTAAATAATCATCCACAATTCCAACCCAAACATTCAAGGAGAATTAATGTTGAAAATGATCTTCACATACCTCATGCGGATTTTCCTGTGTCCACCCATGATTATTATAAAAATTCCTTATTGTATTTCTTGGGAAACTGGCTTCATCGGTAAAAAGAATCTGTGTTAGGAATAGAGGGATGCGAACTAATGTTTGTAATATCGATTGACATAATATAATACGTGGAGAAAAATCTGCAGGTAGTATAATACTGACACAACAAATTGTCCTTAAGAATTTTCCAAATTGTCTTACATTCAAAGTATTTGCAATTCTTCGCGCAGAACTATCAGGATCTTCCTCTATCATGTCCAGCACATTCTGTTCCAATTGTACCGTTCTTGCAGTCACTGATCTTCCTGGCCCTCCACGTCCTTCCCTCCTAGCTTCTGATGAATTGCCATCAGCAAGTCCATCCATGAAATGCATATCAGTCATCTCGGCGTTCGTATAAATCATAATAGAGTACTACAGTATCTGTTAAAGACACGTCACATAGCCAAACATCACTCAATGATAAACTCATTGACGTACTTTTATTTACATTAATGATGTTTCTTTCTCTCAGTTATTAGTAGATCATTGTGAGTGTTAGTGTAATGGATCAACCGAGTACTTCTGGCGCCAAAAGGCGTAAAATACAATCAGGAAATTTACACATGACGAACTTAGACGTAAATTAGAAGATTCTGATTTTGCTAACGTGGAAGGTTCATAAATGTTCCTATATGAATCAATGTTACTATGGAGGGAAAGACTCACCTTTAGACAATATTTGAAAAACAAGAGACATAAGTACGGAATAAAGTCTACATGCTTACCGAATTAGATGGCCTTATCCTGAACTTACTGGTATACACTGGGCATTCAGCAAACAATTATTTGAATAGTGGCTACTCGAGATTTATAGATAACTTCTACAACAGCTAGGGCTTGGCTGAAAAGTGGCTTGAAAAAAATACTTATTGCACAGGCACACTTCGAGCAGGCAGAAAGGATGCTCCAAAAGACGTAGTAACAAAAAAACTTCAACAAGGAGAGACAAGCGCTGCTTATTGAAATGAAGTTATGATTGGTAAGTGGAAGGATAGGAGGGAGATAATGTATATATCAGTGGTGTCCATAACGTCGATCGCAAAGCAGTTTTGAGTCGATCGCCAAGAAAATCATGAATCTGAAATATTTATATTTGGGTATCAGAACAAAAAAAAAGGAAGATTACTTTAAACCCTTCGGTCAATCTTGGCAAGACATTTGTATAAAAAGTCGATTTTAATCAAAAATTAGTGGACACCACTGCTCTAAATCGATTAAACGTCAAAATTGTTGATTTTCAAAAATTAACTCAATCATAACTCATAAAATAAAAGCGATGGGGAAATATTTTTTATACATAAAACCTTAGTAATGGACCATAAAGACTAGATCCATAAAAAGATTGAACCCAATTATTACCATTTTTTATTTATAAGCTCTAAATCGATTAAACATCAAAATTGTTGAT